CCAAGCAAGTAAGCATGAATATTTTAAGTAACCAAAAAAATAATAAACCAAATGAGGAAGTACAACCACAGTAGCACAGGAGACAAATTCTGCTTTGCCATGGTTAACTGTATTTAAAAATACAATAAGAGTATGTTTTACTGTAGCTCATCATTTCTAGAAAGCTAGTATAGTGTTTTTTATTTTTTAGGACCATCAGGCAATTAAGAAATGTATCTAATTAATTACAGTATTTATAATTAATCAATTAATTAATTGCATTTTAATCTCATATCTGCAAAAACAGTCGTGGGAACAACGGTCCTGAAGGGCCGCAGTACATTAAGTTTTCCATGCAGCCCTGCTCCTGCACAGCCTATGGAGTTCTGTATAGTGACCCATTGATTAAAATCTGCTGTTTGGGTCGACAAATGAGGTAGCCTTACAAGATGAGGTTTAAGGTTTCCAATCACTGTGCTAAAGGTACAAAATTCAGTACTTGCTTTATTGCACACGTGGTGAAGTGTGCTCATGGTACCACTGGCAGCCATAGCTGCAAAACGTCCCCCGACATGTTTTATGTTTAAATAATACGTCGAGCTGGAGCAGCTTTTTTTTTTTTTTTTTTTTTTTTTTTTTTTACAATACTTGCATATCATTTTTGTTTGTGTAAAGTAAAATTTGATATTAATTTGTTTATACTTGAATGCAATAGAAGATTTTCTGAAGGTCCGTATTGCCGAGCTACCGCCCTAAAGCCTGAAGGGTCTGGAAAGGATCTGTTGTAGGAGCGCTCTAAAATCCCTGCTGCTCTGTGCGCAAACCTGCTCAAAAACTACAGGAAACATCCGATATCTGTAAATGCAAGCAAAGGTTTCTGCACCAAATTTAAGGATTTATTTCCCATCCACAAACATTCACACCTAAGGAGAGTCTAGAGAAGCCAATTAATATAACAGTCATGTTTTTTTGAACTGTGGGAGGAAGCCAGAGTACCCAGAGAGAAACCACGCATGCAAACTCCATGCAGAAAGACCCCGTGCCAGGAATCAAACCCGGAACCTTCTTGCTGCAAGGCAGCAGTGCTATCCACTGCGACACTAAGCAGCCTGAGATAAATACTTGTGTCATGCAATTAATTTCACCATTCAAAATTTTACCATTTATCAATTATTGTATTTCAAATACATCTTCTGGATTTTAGCTTTAGATCCTATTGAAGGTATAGTGCAGATGTTCTTTTCTGGGTTAAATAAGTGGTCCTCCTAATTGTCAATCATTTTGGTGATATGTCTACATAAGGCCATCCTACACGCTCATCCGCATTTTCACTTACTGGTGGTGAGTCTGACATAGTGGAAAAATTAAAAAATCTCCTTTTGGAAAGTAAGCTTGTATGAGCGATGCAAACAGCAACTTTTAAACAAAGCGTGCACGAGGAGAAATGGGCTTGTGCACGCTCTTGTACGTGTATAATAGGGGTTCCCTCTGGGTAGCGGGTACATGTTGTGCATGTGTATTATTTTTCTGAAGTGGAGAGGGCAGGTCTTTTAAAAAATTCACAAAATCCTCCACTATACCTTTTAATAAAAGTTTCAGTACCTATATGTAAAGATATACTTTACATGGTTTGCAGGTGGGAAAACCTGCAAAATAGTGTCTCACATAATTGTTCATCCTACTGTAATTAACTCCCACTTGCTAAGTTTTACTGTGGATTTCAGTGAGTAGTTCTGAATTCTGGCAGACTTGGTCTCTCATTTATTTTGGTCTCTCTGCAGAGTTGAACAGTCTATGCATAAGGGCATCTGGCCAAACCTAAGCTCAGAAAAGAGGGATGGACAGCAGACCTCCCTGTTCTGTCAGCTGACTCAGTTTCCCAGGGTCCTCGGATGCAAAAGGCCATCTGAGTCAATCTCTGCAAACACACAAGGAGGAGAGACAGGAAAAATGTTTAGATCCATGTCCGGTGGACCTATGCCGCCTGGAAAATCATTGAATTGCACATAAAAAAAAACCTTTAGAAGAATTTTACCAACTTTGCTATGTTTTAAATACTTTACAATATTTTATTTACATACATTTACTTTTTTCATGTTAATCTCCATTTAGATTGAGTAAGATTCATTCAAACCAATGTTACTTGTTAAAGCTTCAAAGGTCTCACAGGGGAAAATAATTACCATATTCTCCAAATTATCACCTTGTCGATGTGAAGTTTAAGAATTTAGGAAAAAGGGAGAGTTCATGAAAACACAGCCTCACTGTCAGCTTAGCAAGAGATTAGCCTGAGCAGGAAGAAACCACTAAAATGACATATTTGACTGACTTAACAGCATTCAGAGATGCAGAAATAGTTCTCTGTCTTTGTAAAAGTGATGTTTGTTTTTTTAAAGGGTATGTAAAGGTCAGTTCTTTCAAAGTTGGAGAAGTTAGTCGTTTTTCTTTCTGTTTCTGTAAAGCTTCTTTACTTAGCAGCTAGAGATACAGTAAATCTATTGCAATTACCACACTTTACATAGCAATTTCTGAGTTGTATTAAGATCATACATTTCTAAAATATTTCCACACTACATATGTTGTAGAGAACACTGAATAGCACATGTTGCACTGACACTATCACACTGAGATTTAAGTCTTCTTTAGTTTACCTACTTGTAAATGTGTTACACCTGAAATGAAGTTAATCTGTTCTTGTTCTGACATTTGCATCTTTTAGTAAAAGTCCAAGTTGCAGAGAGATCACAAAAAATCTAATTAATTATCTCTACAAAATTATCAGTCAGGAGAAGGGAAATTACTAGTGCATATAAAAAATAAGCTATCTGACACAGTCAAACCATTCTATAATAATTGAAAATTGAGCTCTTAAAGACAAATGGAAACTGGTTAAGCCAGTCATACACTGTACAATATTTTCAATCGCAGTACTCGGCTACAGCTCAAACTGTACGATTAAATTGCAGAGTTTAAAAGTTCACAGCTCACGATGCATGTTGTTACACTGTGCTGACCGACGCTCTGATGCAATCTACTTGCTCACCCTGCACATCCAAAAACCACACGTTGAACTGAGCGCAGAGTGATGGTGCAGGGCTGACTCGTCCATCTGGAAGAAGAACTCCCTTGTTTGTACATGCGCAGTGCTCTAGGTTCTGGTAAATCGGCTCGTAGCTCTGCTTCAACAACAGGATTTGCCCGCGAATACCTCAAGGGGCCGACTGAATTTCAAAACATTTTTGATTTTCTCTCGACCTCACCATTCAAGGTTACCCTCGTTACCCCTTGTATTAGATTAGATTCAACTTTATTGTCATTACACAAGTACAGGTACAGGGCAACGAAATGCAGTTTAGGTCTAACCGGAAGTGCAATAGCAGCAAGTGCAGGATAAATAATGGTACCAAAAGTACACGACATGGGTTTCTACTGAATAAGTATAGAGATGAATACCATTATAAACAGAATCTTACTAATAGATGAATATAATATATAGATAACTAGTGTTATGAACTGTATACTACACGACGCAGGACCCACGATGAGGCTGAAACTCAACCCGTTTCAAAAAATTATCGCACGACTGGAGAATCGACCCTGAAAAGGGAAAGAAATCGCACAGTGTTTTAGTTTTAGGGAAACTACCAATCGGATAAGAGAAAAACTAAAGCAGCTTTCTAATAACAGCTCTTCATTTTCTTCATGTGACTAGAGTAACCTGGGGTCTCCATAGGTCTGCTCTTAGGGTGCATTGCATAGAATCCTTCAAGAGAAACAATAGCAAGTATCCAGGCCTCTTTGAATTTAAGTTACAAAAAGGAAACCTCAGATTCAAAGAAATCATTGCAATTCACCAAAAAAGACCATAAACCAATAAATCCCAAAGTTGGGGTCGCGACCTCCGACAGCGTCCGAAATAAACCAGGATGGGGTCTTGAGATCCACTTAAGAAAGTAAACTAAACAATAAACATTTATGTTGGTGATTAAAGATATAAAAGCATCACCTAAAATGGACAAAACCAACTATTTTGGTTGTTGATGGCATTTGTAATATTATTACAACTATGGAGAACTGATGTTGATGAAAAGTTTGAGTTAATCTGGTGCCGTTTTAGGGGTCAGAAGTAAAAATTTGTAAATCTTTGCCATACTCATAGTGTTGCAGCATCATTTTGGAGGTTGTTTTTTTCTAGAAAATGGAACGGAGGGGATTTCATGAAGGTGAATGTAATTATAAACTGATTAAAATGCTTTTTTGTTTTGACTAAAACACTAAAATCGTAAACTAAAAATCTAATAGATCATCCAAGTATTAATCATTATTCAACTTTTTTTCAGCTTAATGTTGTAAGATATTTTTCACTCTATGATAAATGATTTATCTTTGTCCTTTCTTTTACATTACAAAATTACAATGTTTGCAGTGAAGGACGGTCTTAGTTACACTATTAAACTGTTCATTTCCTACTCTCCCCTCTCAGAGTGAGAGGAAGTCCTCTCTGAGGCCCTTTTTAGCAAAGGGGCTTTTTCATGAAGCCAAGAGACAGTAAAGTGAAATACAAAGACTCTCTACACACAGCTAGTAAGGGCCTTGAACTCAGGGCTGACCCCTGAAGGATGTGTGTGGGCTTGAGCCAGACTCAGAACAGGCCGAGGCTCCTCTCTCTTTTGAAATTGACCTTTACCAGAGTCCTCCAAACAACCATGAACAGACTTGCAACTGTTGATGGCAACAGATTGATGGAAATTATCAATGGCTGCCAGAAGAAAAGTTCAGAAGAGCTTCTTCTATATAAACGTGTGGTGCATAACATAAAGTTAAAGAAACAAAAGAATTTCCTTCATTACAAAGACGTCATTTATCTCATTGCTTTTCAGTTGCTGATAGGAAAGTGTTATGGATATGTTGTTGAATCCTAATAAAACATCCAATATTCTCATGTTAAGCATTGTGTGATAAGAATAAATTGACTTTTTGTTTTGTTTTAAATGGAAACTTTTGCTGTCTGTGCTTTTCAGTGCTGGACCAGCTCCTGATGGAGCTCCACCGCTTCCTGCTCCTCCTGGACAGGGAGAATCTTAGTGGGAATGCCACCATCCAGAAGGGATTGCTGTCAGACCTCCTGCAGTCATACAAATCCACAAATGGTAATATGTAAACAAATCTTGGTGTTTAAAAAGATAGTTCCGATGCTACAGACATGGGTATTCATTAATTATAATAAAAATACACTGAATAGACCTTATGATTTACAAGTAAGGGAAACAACTGAATGAATTAAAGGTTTTAGGGGTCAAACGAAGATAATTAAAAGGTCAAGATCTCTTTATTTCCATCTAAAAATATCCGCCATATTGCTTATTAAGACAGGGAACCTTGAAACACTTTTATTTCGAGGTTATAAATAAAAGCAATTTAGACACTGAAACCTCTGAACTTCCTTCTCCTTTTTTGTTTATTTAGAAACTGATTTTATAGGCGATTAAACAGCAACATTTTTACATGTTTTGCAGTGCATTTAAAAAAAGAAGTGAAAGGTTACAAAAAAAAAGTCTTGGCTGTAAAACTAGCTCAGTTTAAAAAGGACTTAAATTGGAAGCAAAAATTAAGAAGAAGCAAAACCTGCCCTATCATGTCCACAAGTGAATTATCTTTTGAGTTTTTTGATTTGGGGCAAACGAATATTTTTATTTTCTTAATGATTATTAAGTGGTTGTTTTGTGAGCCCTTAATGTTAAGTTGCATAATACATTTTAGAAGTTCTTTAAATTAAGGTTATGACAACTATTAATTTCTCCTGAAGATTAAGGAATGAAATTTATTTAAAAAAGCAGAGTAAGCAAGTGGGAGCATAAAACGTATGGAATAAAAATGATCCAAAAATAGATCCATGGGGAGTCTCACATGTTGTTTTTTCAAGACAAAGTGGTCCCTGTCTACAAAGTAACATTTCAATTAGTTTGGCTCAATGTTTGTGCAATCTTGAAAATTATTTCTGTCCATTTTCCCACAAAAAAGTAGTTTTCACAGTGTTTCTATTGTAACAACAGTTGGAGTAATGGTTTTACTCAATGAATTAAAATCCAGTTTCACAAATGGATGACTGACTGAGTTCTATACAGTTATGTTGTCTTCAATTTAATTAAAACAGGTAACCTATTAAAAAAAAGAAATAAATAAAACAAAGGCTTCAGCTATACTCTGGATCTTTGATACAGATCATAAACAGAGGGGATGGCACGATGACAGATATACAAATATTCCACAAAAACAAAATGTGCACTAATGCAAAGATCAAGAAGATTGATAATTAAACCAAACATTATTTTCAGCTGGTGATGCCATCACTGCACAAACAGCTGATGTAGCACCCAAACACCAACCAAATCCCAGCCAACTAAAAAACTTCACTTAGACTTAGACAAACTTTGTGGTCATATTTGATGCATACATTTTTTTTCATCAGTGCAGTGAAATGAAAATTATCATTCATAAAGTGCAGCAGTGATCAAAATGTAAACAATGTAGGAGAGATGTGTTGCAAAAAGGCATTGATGTGGAAGGTTCATAGCAGTGCAAAAATAAAAGATTAAATATGGTGAAAAATGCAGTGGAACACTGAGTTGAAATCTTTTTAAAGGGATTTCAAAATTCGCCGTGTAGTGCAGATATGTTTACAGTGTGATGCAGAGTCTCGATTTGTAATTTGATTAGAGACTTGATTAGAGTCTCTGCATCACACGGTAAGCGTCATATTTGCACTACATGGGGAATTTTCAAATCCCTTTAATTAGAATTCAACACAGTGCTCTACTGCATTTTGCACCTATTTAAAATCTTAAATTAGATCCCTAAAACACAGCCACAAAAATAGCTGACCTGCAGCAGGAACAAAGATGTGCACTGTAACAGCCACCTGCCCAACTATAAAAAGGCATCTGGCTCACCCATCAATCAGCATCTGGTGCATACCGAGTGGGGATGGAGTTTGGGGGAATACCTCCTCACACTGCCTTAGCCTTAAAATTCCTGGTAAGGAATTTAAGCTTAAGATTGATTCAGATAGTTGCTGTTGGAAACAGTGAGGGAGTGGGTGACAGAAATATATATGTGGTTATATATATGTGTGTGGTTAACCCTGATGCTGTCATTGGTTCTTGCAAAACACAATTGAGTTCCTAGGAATCAAAGGATCCTCAAGCTTTAGATTCAGTTCTTTTCAGTGTGATCTGATGTCAAATTGGGCTGCTGTTAAAAGAATACATAGCTGTGTAGTAATATAACATATTGATACTAGTTAGGGCTGAAATAATTAATTGGATTAATTGTGATTAATCCATTAACTGAAATAATAATTGTCAACTAATTTAGTAATTAATTAATCGTTAACTGGGTATAGAGACAACATGCCTTAAGAGCTTTAGAGGAACCCACTTAGAGCAGTAATTACATTAAAATACATTTAAATAGTTTAAAAATATATAAATATTTTGCATTTAAAATGAAAAAAAAACTTTGGTCTGGCAATTTGCTCTATCCAGAACTCCTCAAGTGGAAAATAAATAGTTTCAACTGGTTTAAATTTGTAAAAAAATCTTCTTTAAAGAACCCTTTGGCTATCTGATTATTAATAGATTAATCAAAAAATAATCAACAGATTTATTGATTTGCAAAATAATCATTAGTATTATATTAATATGCAACAGCAAATCAGCAAAGTAATTAATAATGGCTGAAAGGAAGATGAAAATGTGTTTTGTAGAGGTTGAACTTTGACAGTCTTCAGTTGGACTTCCAAAAAGATGTACTAGACGTGCATCTCCAGTGCTCATGGTAAAACTGCTAAAACTTTAAGCCCTCCTTATTTATTTTTCTACCATCAGACATACCCAAAACTAACTTTCATTATTGAGATTTCTCCAGAATTGAAAAAAAAAAAAGATGAGGCTAATGCTAGCCTAACCTTCTAGGCTGTTACATAGCTACTTAAATAATTTCTCTGAAACATTTAATTTTACCTCATATGAAACTTTTATCATAGATTAACTTTATCAGATCCATTACCACAGTGTGATACATATTGTTGCTTAAGGGTCCTGCCACAAATAATTAAAAAGGCACGTTAAATTCATATCAAAGCCTGCAGATGTTTAAATATTTCATCCCCATTATATTCCTCTCTCTGGTGATCAGCGGGGTGATTCATTCAACAAATCGATAAATAAATGTAAGAAGGTGTGAGAGATTCACAAGAATTGCTGCAAACAATTAAATGCTCACGAACAACCAGTGCATAATGGTTAGCGGTGGACGATTTAACTATGCCTGAGAACTTGCAAATGAGAGACTTAGGAGGAAAGGTTCATTTGTGGGGATCTTCAATGTTTCCTGACCCAGGATGATTGTCAGTTATCAGCTGATCAGACTCTATCGAGTATTGCTTTCAGACTCTCCATATTCAGGTCATCCCTGAGGTAAGTGTGCATAAATCCAAAGTAGAAAATTACTGGTTGGACAGTTCTAAATAAAAGTTAAAATAAAGAGCCTATATTAACAGCTGGTGGTACATATAGGCCAATAATTTAATTAATAGATTTATGAATTACAGATATAAATGCTTTACAGGTTTAATGTCAGTGGAAAATGGACGGTATTTAATGCTGTAGACAGATTATTAAAGATCTAAAATAATCTGTGAAAAGATGGCATTTATTCAATGCAGAAAACCCAGTGGTTTTGATGCTCAGGTTTAGAGTCAGAAGGTACCACAAGGCCTTTTCCTATGAGTTTTCAGTTGGGTCAACACCAGCATAGACTTTTGAAAACTCGTTGGGCAGACACTGCTTTAGAGTGGCCTAGCAACAGCTGATAAAATGTAGAGGTACCGAGATGCAGAGACTTTGACGGCTGTGAGAAGTTATTTAAAGAGAGCCAAAGACGATGGCTGTAGAGCAAGAGAGACAGGTGATGGCTCAAGAAAATTCCTGGTTGATATGTGGATAGGCTCAAACAGCGGATCATTTAAGGGTTGGTAACAGCTTATTAAAGATGTAAAATAATCTGTGAAAAGGTTAGGAAAAAAAGAAAATAAGCTGCAACCCAAAGACGGTTATTCCTGTCTGTATTAAACCTTAGAGATAGGTTTGCTGCTTCGCCACATCATTAGTCCAGTTGTTTGTTTGTTGGGTTAGAGTTTTTAGTTGGAGATCATTGCTGATTTCCATGTTTCATGTGCTCTTCTCAGAGGCCAGTGGTTGGAGAGGGTTTTTAGTCTTGTCTTGGTGTTTCCTGATAATTTCCTGATTCTTCTTCACTGAGCTTGCCATGTTCCTGTTTTGGCTCTGTGGAAGGAGTTTCTTTGAAGTTCCATAGTTTCCCTGATATCATGTCTAGTTCTGCCTCTCAACTACTGGACCTGTGTGTTTTCCATCTGAACGTTTCTGCCTGAACCCTCTGTTGGACTCTTGGAACCCTGAATCTGCCTGAAAGCTCTGTGAAGTCCTGGAACCCCGGATTTGTCTGTTCCTGTACTGATCGGAACCCCTGGCTAGGCTACGGACTCCTGGATCTCAGAACCATCCTGTTCCAAACTGTTTGCCTGACCTGACTCAGACTCCTGCCTGTTCACTGGGGCTGCTGCATTGTGGACCCTCTGGGCGGCTCCGCATCGAAACTCATTTGCAGTCCATCGGCTGGATCCCGCCTCACTCCAGAGGATTGATTGAACTGTTAAACCAGAGTGCCAGTGATGGGTGGTTCCCTGCCTCCCCCAGCAGCCGCTGCAGATCCACAGCTCATTATTTTCTGTTTCTGCTAATAAAAGCTTTGAACTTTTCCACTGTCTGTCTCACCTCGAATTCTTGGCCCTACATTCTGGTTCTGTTATATAAACCCTGAGAGGCCTTTGGTTACAGGGGTTTTTTTAAAGGTGGGGAACGACACAAAGCAAAACAGAGTTTTGTCTTTAATCTCAGAATTTAACTTGATCTCAAAACTACAATTTCTGTTTAAAAGTTCTGACTTTAATATCCAAATTCTGACCTTGTATGTTCGCTATTAGCACTGCAAGCAACATTGAGCTAGGTTAGAGTCCTGCACGGGTCGAGTTTTACCAACCCGCACCCGCCCGAACCCGTTAGGATGACTACCGAACCCGACCCGTCACCCGCGGATATCTTCAATTCAAATCCGAACCCGACCCGATCCGTTAATATTTAACCCGCCACCCGACCCGTTAACACATCAAGTAATAGGCTATAGTACGCTGCGCTGCAGAACAGCACCATCAACACTGCAGCAGACGTGTATGCACTGACTGTGGCCTTTTTGGAGGGAAGCCCACACTGGCAGCAGGGCTTTAAGCTACAACAAGGGTGACCCCAGTGCCTGATTAATATAACATTTCTGATGTCCATAACAACACACACGCATAAAAAAAAAATCACCAACTTCCCGCCCGCACTAAAAACCCGTTTATTTTTATTTATGTATTTTTCACCCGCAAAAGAGCATTTTAGCGGGTGACCCGTCGGGGAACCGCGGGTACCTGACCCGTTGCAGGACTCTAAGCTAGGTTACAGATTTAGAGAGACAACACAGCCTTGTCTCACCTGTAAATTAATATGCAGCTTTTAGAGGCTAAATGCAGCCAAAAATAACCCAATTTGGCATCTGCTATCTGATTGTTCCACTTCAAGTCAATGCAAGAGGAAAAAGGGTAAAAAAAAAAAAGTCTTAAATGTTGCATCCCACAACTTGTTTGCAGCAGTGATCCTACAGCGTAGGCTTACTGCCTCTTCAGAAATAGGCCTCCCAGTTCCTTTTAAACAGACAGGTAATTATCTTGAATTGGGTCATAGACTAAAACATTATGCACTTGTACACAGGTGTAATCCCCTTTTCTATTATATTCTGTTTGATCAAATAACACTTTCTAGAAATTGTGGCACATTTGCCTCCATTTCTGCTTCAGTTCAGTTCATTTATATAGGGCCGATTAACAACACATATACAAGGCACTTTACAATTCAACCAGATCACACAGTCAGTTGTTTTTTTCATGCTGGACTATTGTAATTCTTTACTATCAGGGAGTCCACAAACTTCATCCTCAGTATGAAAAAAGATGAGTGTCCTTTTTTGCAATTTTCATAAAAAAATGATATTAGTGTTCAGTTTAAATTGTGAAGATGGATTTATAATTTTTACTCAATGGCTGTGACACCAAGCATGGAAATGGTAGCCATGCTGGTGAGCTGATGTAATTTATGTTACCTGGAAGTCCAGATAGTTACTGTGTGAACTAAAGCCTCCCTCTTGGATGTAAACTCCCAGGTGAGTTATTAGTCTGGAAAATTAAATTAAATTTTTTTAAAGAAAATTAAATTGTAGAACAAATCTGAGTACTAAGTGGTTTTTTGCTTTTTTCCCACGCTGACCCCACTGGATTGGAAAAAGTCATTTGAAATTAGGTCTTTTCTCAGAGACTTGTTCTAGAACAATCAAACAAGCAGTCATGATTTTCCATGTTCAGGTCTTGGACTCGTCTCTTCATACCTCCTCTTCTGGCTCCAGGCTGTATCATTTTTCCAAAGCTGCTTTTATCCTCTGGGGGATGCTCCACTTCCTTTGCAAAGCAGCTTATAAATAGCCTTTCAACTCTGTTCCCTAAAAAAATCTGTTTTCACTGTACATGCAAAACATTTTATTCTGCTGCTGTTTGGTTTCACCTCATGGTATCAGTTTCAAAGGAGATGCTTTGCGAAAGTTTCACCCTGAGAGTGGAGTTTTGTTTGATTTTCTCTAAAATCTTAGTCAGCTGAAATGTGAAGTTTAGTGAAACAGCCTTGCACAACATCAGTGCTTCAGCTGCATAATCGCATCCCAAAACAGGTTATAATAACAGGCTTTGCTCTGTTTGTATGAGCTGCAACCTGGAGGTTTCTTGTTCAAGACTGTTTTGTGGTAATATTCTCCACTGAATATTTGTTCTTTAAGTTTCATCATCGATAGATCTTATCCATTTAAATGTATTGTGGGGGCTGCTCAGTGGGGCAGTAGGGAGGTTCAGGGTTTGATTCCCGGCTTGGGGTATTTCTGCATAGAGTTTGCATGTTCGTCCTGAGCATGCATGTGTTCTCTCCGGGTACTCCAGCTTCCTCCCACAGTCTAAAAACATCACTGTTAGATTAATTGGCTTGTTTAAATTCTCCTTAGTTTTGAGTGGCAATTCGATTCAGTATTAATTTCCTGACCCGACGATTCAATTATTTTCAACACTCATGAGTAAACCACGATACGATTCGATTAATTGGTTATGTTTGTTTTTTTACCTTACAGGCTAGACAATGTTTCAAATTTGAAAAAAAATCAGTGAAAGTTGAAATATCGTTATGCATTTTTTTTGAGAATCAACAGTAAATAACAAAGGTAGCTGAGTTGTACTCCACCTAGGCCTATGAAAACCTCATTCACTGAAAAATAATAACACCTCTTTGTTTACACGAGTGTGTGTGTGTGTGGAAGCGGAAAGAGGGTAGTGGCTAAAGGAAGCAAGGTAGGAGGGCAAAATTGGTTTAGCGCCACCAAAGCACAGGAGTCAGAACTACATCCAGAAGCAAATGGATAAAAATAGACCGGAGGAAAAACAAAAACAAAACATGAATCGGCTGTTGGATCGATGCATCGATACAACACGATTATTATTTACACCCCTAATTTCTTATGCATGGATGCCCTAAAATAGAGAGTTTTGGTGGACAGATTAATTCAAATGAATACAACTTTTACTTGTATGGACTATGGAGACACATTTTAGTCGATGTGCGACAGTCAGTGTTCAATGAAAATATTCTCTATACTGTGGATGGCATTTCCTGCTTTTGCTATCAACACCAGTCTATATAATTTCTGACAAAACATTTAGAATTTGTTTAAAAGTTTCATTTTCTTTCATATTTCAATCAATTTTCTCATCATCGTGCATCTGTTAAGGGTGTTGCATGCTCCTGCAACAGGGGAGGTATGTCTCGGCATAACCCCAGTGGTGAGTCTGACACAGGGTTGTGCATGTGCATTTTTTTTTTAAAGTGGAGGGTGCGGGTCTTTTCAAAAATTCACAAAAATCCTCCACAATACCTTTTAAATCATAAATGTATTATAAAACACTTATTTCATAATGTATTACATTTTATGTTTGGTATTAATTTAAAACAGATATAGCGAAAATTATGATTCAAAATGGAAACTTTCATTCTGTAAACTCAAATCTCCAGATTTGTAACCAGGGTAACAAAAAACTATCCTCCTGTGACCAGTGTGGACATTCTTTAACCTTATGGACATCATTATACGACTGTCAGGCACATGGATGATGCTTGATTATTCTCTGTTGTCACACACGGTAGATGTCATGAAATAATGTTTTTAACTCTTATTTTATATTTTATTATTTATTAATTATGTGGTATTATATTTTCTATCTTTTTTTACAGTAACACTACCTTATTTTTCTGGTTCTTTTTTACTTCACTGTGGGTTTTTAAATGTTCCTTACATGTAATGCGTGATGTTTTTGTTTGAGTGGAAACTTTGTGGTCTGAGATTGTTCTTCACGCCTCCAAAACTGTTGACCACTTCTTGTTTTGCATAGGAGGTGACGAGGAATATATCTACATGAACAAAGTGCCAGTTTCTGGGAAAGACAAAAACGACAAAGGTGAGAGTCTTAAATGATCTAGCTTTGAAATAGGAGACACTTGTAGCTTTTAATTTCAACTTCATTTGTTTTTAATGAAAACCACAGAATCATTGTAACTTTTGTCCTAATGCAACATGACTTGATTTTGATGACATGCGCTGAACTGGAAATATAAAAAAGTCCCAACCTAGGACTTTATGGGACTCACACTATTAGTATGAACTAAAAATTATTTGCTGCGCAGGTTGTCCTTATATATAAAATAATAATGATAATAAAAAACACATTTTATTTCAAAGTCGCCTTTGAAAACACTCAAAGTCACCGTACAAAAGATTAAAACACAATGGGAGAAACAACGCACACGGAAACACAGAATAAAACCATTTAAAAAATAAAAAAAGCTGGGACAGGGAGATTAATATTAAAGAGAATAGGTAATTTTAAACAGGTGAGTTGATTGAAAATGGAGAAGTGAGTCTGTTTTTCTAAGTAAGGGTGGTAGAGAGTTCCAGAGACGGGAGGTATTTGGCTCTTTGAGGACCTGGATATCTTGCTATAATTGATGGAACAATGACATTGACTGTCAAACAAGTAATCTTCAAGAAGAAGGTTGAATTATTAGGATGCTGACACTAGTTGAGTTGAGTTATACAGTATGTTAGTAACCAGGAAACACTAGATAAATCCTTCTGGAGGTCTCAAAAACCCAATGATGTGTTTGGGTTTATCCTAGTTAAAGATTGGAATAAACATATGGAAATGTTGAGGTGTGACCTTAAGCAGGCCATTAAGTCCAGAGATCCTCCACTGCATCTGGATAAAACAATTCTGAAAAGAAGAGTGGCCATAAATAACTCCACAGTGATGTCAAAGACTTATGGCTAGCTATTGCAAAGGCTTGATAACACTTTTCTTTTTTATGGTTGCACAAGCATGTATTAGTTTTAGGGGTAATTTCTATTTTATTTCGGGCAATCGTTGGATTGGGTTCATTGTCATTTGTTTTTCTAAAGTTTCGGTTGGGATGGTTATTTTTTTTTATCAAGAGAATTTATAATGTTCAATGGAGAAGCATGCAACAAATACTTTTTGATAAACCTCGAAGAAAAAACAATAAAAGGACTCTTGTTGGATTTGTAAAATATTACCTACATACATGATGTTAACACATCATAAGCCCAATTTAGCTGTAGATACGCAGCAGAGGAGATGAACTGCTTCAAGCAGAGGCGCTCTTTCATTTGTCCTCATGTTCGTACGATTTCCTGTCTGTTTCTTTGAAACTTTCTCACTATCTGAGACTGACCTGTTTTCTTTGTGGTGTTTAAACACTGCGGTTTGAGCAAGGACCAGACTAAAGAGCGGTTTTCAGTGGCAGCAATAGCAGAGCTGCAGGTTTTCTTTTACAGAGACTGATGGAACGCTGAGATGAAAGATTTGAACTTTCATGATCAGCAGATACAGAGGCTTTAGTCTAAAATTTTAATACGTGTTTGAGAAAGAAGGACTGATTTCCTCCATATGTGACCTCAAAACTTTATAGCTCAATTACAAGCCTGTCCTTTACACTTTGTTGTTTGTTGTCGTTTTTCATTGCAGGGATTATTTCAAGCCAGACCGTGCTGGGAGGAGACTATTAATCTAAAAGGATGTGTTGCTAAATAGATAAACATAGGATAACTAGTTGTGGTTAAAGAGCTGAGTATAGTGTGCTGTGTGATGCAGAGTGAAAAAATAAACTGATGAAAAGATAAGCAGACATGTAACATTGCTCCTTTTAAAGCTTATTGTTTAGGTTTTGTCTATAGTATCAGTTAAAGGTGCAATAGAGGAACGGAATATTATATTATAATTCAATTTTGTTGGATTCAAATTGATACTTTCAAATAATTATTGCATTTATATTTTGAATGCTAAATCAAGAGTGTCCAAGTTGGAAGGCTTATTCTTCCAGTCAATCTCACCACTACTGTTTAGTGATCAAAGTATTGTATTGATCCTGTCATGCAAAATACTTCTACATATGACTGATTTATTTGGTATGTGTGTTTTAAATAACAAAAGGTTGTGCTCTCAAAGGGCTCTAAGGAAACATGACTGCTAAGGAGAACAGTGACACATCTGGAGATTGAGTGTTTGATAAAAATACTCTCTGTCTATTCTTGCATAATGCTCAGTTATTAGATTTCCCATAGGTTCTTGTAATTACCAAAGCAAACAATACAAGACCATGGTTTAAGATTATAGATTCCCTATATACATTCATTTTTCTTCTTCTTTGCCTCTATGTAACAGATGACTATTTGGATGCCCTTATTAATGGAAAAGCAGCAAAAAATATTCCGGTGCCACAGAAGAGCCTTCCTGACCTGCCGCCACCCAGAACAGTAAGTCTGCTTTTATTTTTTTTCATCAGAGTTGATCTTCAACTTCTGGATAGAAAATACAGTTAGTGAAACTTTGCAAGCTGCTAAAATAAATTGCACATTGCAAAATACAATAAACTGCATTTAATGACAAAAGGACATTGTGAAAAAGAAACCATTTAAAGAGTTTTTTAAATTGCTTTTCTTTCTGCTTTATTTTACGTATTTAAGCATCTCTCAATTTCTTCTTCTACTTATCTGCTTCTCTTTGTCATTTTTTTTCTTTTATTATTTAATTTTTTTTTTTTTGCGTCTAGTGGACTTATTTGAAGTTGAGAAAACAGGAAATAGGTTTTTGAGAGAAGGAGATCACCTGGCCGGGAGTTAAACCCGTGATGGCCACTTCGAAGTATAAGACCTCTATACATAGTTATAATGCGCCACCACACCACCCAACTTTATTGATCTTCATTGTTTATTTTTGTTCTACTCTTGTCAGATTTCAGTCTAGGCTGGAATTGAAACTCATCTCATTAGCTTGGATTACGCATTAGGCAGGTAGAATCCTAGTTTTGCATCAATGCCTCATTTGCAGTTTAAAACCCTTTTTTTTTTTTTTTTTTTTTTTTTACATTTAACAGGGTATGTATTTAGTAATAGAAATAAAAGCTATTTTCAGTTTTGTTGAATTTACTAAACAAGCATCTTATAAAATTTAAGCAAATATTAAGAAACAAAACAAAGATATTTCCTAAAATACCATCTAGCTTAAAGATTTGAACTACAGTACTTGATTTTTAGAGATGAATATAATTCTGCATTGCAAAGTCATTTTGCCAACCAAATCCTACACACTGGACCTCATGCATGTCAGTTGGCCCTATTTATTTGATGACTGAAGGGTCTATTTTTATGAGGGATATCCTCCCCTTTGAATAATGGTTGTGGAGACACGGGGTTTCAGAGTGAAGAGGACTGGGCATAAAAAGAATCTTCAAATTTAGTTTTTTACTTAGTGAAAAATGAATACATTTTTATAAAGAATGAAAAATGAAAAAAGTTTTTCTTGCACTTCACAATTATTAATGAATTTTGGTTGTAACTTGACCAAATGAGAAAGAGCAAGGTCTGTGAATGCTATTGCAAGGCATTGTGACGATGGGCACTGCAATCATTAATATAATGCACACCATCGTATTTATAACTCTATTAGCTTTAATTTAGCTAAAACAAGTGGAAGCAATGTCTTATAGGGTTTGTAAACCTAATAAGACAGGTTTACAAGCCACAGATGTAACCCCTACCAAATACACAAGCGATTAAGTACTCCCAGTAAGCAATGATTCCTTAGAAGTATGTAAACGGTGGGCCTTTATGTTGACCAGGAAATTGCTGGTTCCTGAACTGGCCCAGTGTGAAAGAGAATAAGAATTTTAGAACATCCCATCAGTGCCTTTGAACTTTACACACACTGCTGCCTCTCAAGGTTCAAACCACCGCAGCTGTTACTTATCAGTGCAAATGTGAAGTGTCAGCACATCTTTGAGTACATATTGAGTGTGTGTATGTGTGTGTGTGTGTGTGTGTGTGTGTGTGTGTGTGTGTGTGTGTGTGTGTGTGTAAGTAGATGTATCAAGAGCCTTTTGTCTTTTAAAAAGCCTAAGAGATATTCCAATTTTTTACTCACAGACTTTTAATCATTATTATATTTTGGAATAACTTCACATCTGCTGCAGAATGTCTGCAAATCTCTCTGACATGTCTGGCAAAGCAATTTCTCTTTGTCCCTCATCCACGTCCGGTTTTGGTGTAACTGGTCCAGTTTTGGGGAGCCTGAGTAGACAAGTCCAAAGAGAGCCACTCTTTGGAAATCCCTTCATTTGTCTGCGGGGTTTCCAACCATCTACTGTGATGGTGTATTCAAGAGTCAACATATGTTTTACCGTGAACACAGAGTCTCCTCTTATCACTGCAGTGAACAGTGCCCCCTTGCTGTTTATGTAGTGTCCGGGCATGGCTGTCCACTGGCCATTTGTGACGTTGTAGCAGTCCATCAGGCAGCGCAGAAAATCATCACAAGGCCCGTTTCTCATCACATACAAATTGTCCCTGTGGGCCACCATACAGTGGCCATAGCTTTGAGGTCTGATCATGGTGGTGGTGAGATTCCACTCATCTTTGAGTGGCATGTACTCGTAAATGTCTGTAGTGTCAGGAGGTTTCCAGAAGCAAACAAAGATTCGTCGACGAGCAATGGCAGATGCTGGAGATGCCACAGGTCTGGGTGCATGTTTTATAAATGTCCACTCTCCCTTTGCGGCGTTGTACCTTTCTGCACTGGAAATTAATGTGCTTTGAGCTTCTCCAGCAATGGCATAGAGTTGTCCTTCATGCCCAAGCAATGTAAAGTCGTACCTTGGTTGTTGTGGACCTGGAAGAGTTGTCCATATCCCTGAATCGGGATCATAGCAGAAACTGCTGTCCACTGTGTCCTTCCGGTAACCGTAGATTCCTCCAACAATGTACAGCCGATTGTCAAGCACTGCTACCCCAGCCAGGGAGGTACTACAAGCAGTTGGTAGGTTTGACAGATGCCGCCACTCCCTTTCTTTTTCTTCAAGGAAACAAGCAACTCTGAAAGAGTCCTGTAGCAGCTCCATTGATGGAGTATGGGTTCCTAAAGCGATATAACTAGCTGGGGAGAGCATCTGAGCATACTCAAGCAGCTCTTTTGGTATTGCGCTTTCTGCTTCTTCCTTGAGATCATCGAAAGCATCACACAGAAACAGAGCAGCACTCTGAAACAGTCTGTGCACTCCAAAGATGGAAGCTGCATGGTAAAGCAAGAGGCAGTTATCAGTGTCTATGATATCACAAAGATACTGAATCAAAGGTGGGATCTGCAGGAAAGCAGCGCACTCTACTGCTTCAACAAGTTCATCTGGGTCCCTGATGGTGGGGTTCTCTTCCCTGCATACAGTAAGAGCAATGAGGAAACCTCTTGCATGCACTCCCCCTCTCAGGTACAGTTCCTCTGCTTGGCTTTCTTTCATCTTGGAGCGAAAAAGAGCTTGAAAATAGTCGCTGTGCCTTTTAAGAAAATCCCGCTTAAGAGGGAACCAGCTTTCCTCCACTCGCACTCTCACCCAGCCTGCCTCTGTTTCCTCCAGATCAACGGTCACATTCTCGGCATCAATATGTCGTCCATTTCCCAGGCTTTCAGGCGCTTCCATGGCTGTTCAAACCAAGACCTCATCTTGCTAAAACAGGCCCCATATAATTATTTGGTGCATGACCTGAATGTAGATCAGCCATTTTCCAACTAAGACTAAATGAGTTTGACTATGAGCTCAACTATGTCCTGTCTGCCTGTCTGAAAATAGACTGGGGCTATAGATAGCCTCTCTGCCACTTGCAAGCATAGGGCAGGGAGGGGAAAATGTTGACATGCTCAGTGAGCTGCATGACTGCTGGCAACTACAGTACCTTGCAAAAGTAATCACACCTGTTAACATTTTCAACTTTTTAGTATGTTACAGCCACTTCAAGTGTACTATGATTGGAGGTGATTTGTAGAGACACTATGTAGTTTTGTTGTGGAAAAAGAAATGAAGCCAGATTTTCTTTCAAGTCCGACATTCTGAAGGATTTTGAATTCTTAGAGATTGAAGTATTTTGCTCAGTCATATTGAAATGCGAATGTCTGTAAACGATCCAATTAAATTTATTTATATAGCACCAATTCACAAAACATGTCATCTCAAGGCATACATTCAAATTGACTCAAAGTTTTCAATCTAAGAAAAAGCAGTTTGGCAATCCATCAACAGCATTTCTTGGAGCCCTGGCTCAAAACTAGGTCTTTGGCTGGGCATATTGGAACATGAATAGTTGAGTTTTGATTTAAAACATCATATTTCATACCTAGTCTGAAGTCTTTTGAAGTCTTCATATTGTCCTGCTTTCAGATCTATGCATCCTCCCATTAATTCCAACAGGCTTCCTTGTGCAGAATATTGATGCTAAGGATTATGTGCATTGGCTTCATCTCAAAGGAATATCTATTTCCATGTTTGCTGTATCATCAGCATGCTGTAGGGAAATGTTCTTGCTTGATTTCTTTTTATACAATAGCTTTACATGTGCCAAGCTTCCATAAAGGTAAGATTTTGCTTCCCACCTAATAGCTATTCTGTAAACAGATTATTACACCTCAGCTGTGGCTATCTCCAGTTCCCCCCTTTATTAATAACCCTCTTGCCCCGCTTGGAAGTTTAGGTGGGCTTCCATGTGTTGGAAGTTTTAGGATGGAGCCATGCTGTTTTAGTTAATGTTGTCAAATCGGTCAACTGAAAACCGTAGAATCAAAGCTAATCCTGCTTTAAATGTTTCTGCTACTTCATGTCTGACCTTTTGGGTGTGTTCCTAGGTTTTTGTTATTCTTTAACAACTGAAACCTTCTTAAAACAGCTGCTTCTTACACTAGGATGTAATTACACACTGGTTGAGTTTGTTTAAAGGGTATCTGTCTTAAGGGGTCTACACACCGCAAGAACTAAAATCTAAATAAGAAAATTTCTCTTAAAATGTGTGCATTTTTTTTTCTTGAATTGAGGAGGTATGTGAGACACTTTGCCAATGGAACAAGACAATGTACATTTAAAATAAGAAAAAAACAATTGAGTTGTATTATTTCAAGTACATATTATCTAATTATCTTATTACAATTATCTTATCTCAATCATCTCATTCCAATGGCAAATCATCTTATTTACCGACTCAAATTAAGGGTAAATAGACTTTATTTAAGTAATTTTTACTTATTTCTAGATAGTTTTTGCAGTGCATTTACTTAACACTACATTTGTGTCCACAAGATATTTTCTAGGGGTATAAATACGTAAAACAAATCTGTATTACTTTTAGCCACTAGAGCTGCTAGATCTCTTACCTCCATGTTTAGTTCAATTTTCAATTCATTTCAGTTTATTTATTATTACACATTTACATTCATAACATAT